ACCTCCAGGCCAGCCTTGTCTGAGAAATGGGACTAAACCTGTCTCTGAAATGCTGGCCACCGCCCTGTCCCCCAGGCGCACTTGGGTGTGACGTGGCCTCTGGTGGCTCCCGCGCTCTATGTTTGTCTTTCTGCCAGGCCCTGCAGTGGCAGCTGACATCACGCAGTGTTTTCCTAGAAAACGAAACTTAACGGGGAATAGAAACTACGGTGGAAGAGGAGCAGCGGGAGGTGCTGGGGACACCATTTTGGCCTTGGGGAGTGGGGCACAGAGCTCCATGCTGGAGGGGGCCTGCGTGCCCCTGCTCCTCACCTGGTTTTAGGAGCAGTTGTTGTGGTTGCATGGCAGTGTTTTTGGGGTCCCTGCAGCCTGTGTGCACGACAGTGGGACCTGGTTACCATGGGCTGCATGGACGGGCAGGGAGGGGACACAGCCATGGGGGTGTAGGGGCAGAGGGGGCTGCACTGCTTTATTCCCCTGAGCTGCTCTGCTCCACTTAACCACTGCTGAGCAGCCCTTTTTTCCCCTGAGATACGGCACATGGGGGTCAGAGCCGGGAGGGGGGCAGTGCAGGGACTTCCTCACTTTTCCTGGGCCTGCTACCAGTGAAGGAGGCCGCAAATAACTTCCCACTCCCCACCCACGACCAGCACGGCGCAGGGAGGGCTTACCTTGCAGAGCCTGCGGTCCTCGATGCATCCCCCAGTGATGTCCCGTCCGGTGTTTAGGGGCGAGGGAGGGAAGGTGCTCCCAGCTCCTGCAGTGCCAGGCTCTGGCAGCCCGCTGGATCGGTGGCACAGGCAGGAGCCTGAGCCCTGGGGATGTTTCTGCAGTGCTCCTGTGGGTCCGACCGACACCCAGCAATGAAGGGGAATGGCTTTAGACAAACGTTTTTTGACCCACGAAGTCTCCACCCCTTCGTGTCAGTGCTGTTACTGGGTGGTGCTGCCTTTGCCATCCACCTTCCCATCTCTGCTTCCCAACGGGGGTGGGGACAAGGCCCCAGGCTGTGCCCCACCACATCAGGGTACATGGCAGGGTGCCGGGGTCGGTTGGTTTGTTTTTTAAAAAAAAAAATCACTTTTTTCTAAGCTAAGCAGAGTCACCCCACCCCACTTCCTGCCCTTTGGATCAGCCACCTCCTCACCCCAGACCAGCTCACCAAAGTAGAGTGAAGAGGTTGGCAGGGTCCTGAAACACCAGTGCCCATCAGCCCCCTGCAGCGCTGGGGCACACGACAGCTGTGCCTCACTTGAGATGTGGAGCGTGCTCAGCCTCCCCTGCTCCAGCAGAGAAAGCTGTCTGCCAGGCTGGCCGTTTTTCCTGTAAGCCACGTGGGTTTTCATAAATTTTTTTCTTTCTCTCTCCCCGCGCCCTCCCTGCCTACACCTCCCTGCCCCCAGTAAAAAGTTTTACAGCACGTTGTCATTCCAGCCATTTTCTCTTACCTGTCCACTTGTCCCAGGCACCAAGACGTAGGTGGCTGCTGCCTGGAGACTGTTAGAGTAACTGCATGAGGCTCCTGGGCCTTTCAGGAGGCTTGATGCTCACCCCCATTCCCCTTCCTGAATGAGTGTGTGTGTGTGTGTGTGTGTGTGTGTGTGTGTGTGTGTGTTTCCTGCATCAGTGCCGTGTTCTGGACGAGCAGGAAGGCGGTGGTTTTGCACAGGCCCTGCTCCAAGGAGGGAGGATGTGGCTGCTGCAGGCCCAGCGCAGCTGTAGGGGTGTCACTGGAGCAGACTGTCAGCAGTCTGGCTGAGTTCCCCAGGCACACGTTGTCATTAAAACTTGTGGGGTTTTGTTTTAATTGGAGTACAAGTCTTTATTTAGTAGACTTACAAAAGAACTTTACATGAGAAGTACAAAAATACGAAATAGGCTTTGACTCTTCTTAGGTAAAACTACTTTTTTTCCCCAAGCTTTAGAAACATCTCATTTGCACAGTTGGCATCTTAGGTAAATTGCTCTTATACATTGTAAAACTAGGAAAAAACTTCCCGTAAAGTAGCTCCAGAGAAGTAGCTGTACATACCCAGTCATACACATCACTGTCAATAATTTAGTAGTTTAAGACACAACGGCACAGTCATACAAATTCCCGCTTTGTAATTTCTTCTCTTATGAATTCCATTGAAAGATGCAGTATCACTTTCCTCTTCCAGTTACAGTATGATTAAATATAAACACAAAACTGATTAAGAATGATTTGACATGCTTTATACTTGTACCACTTGGCTTTGATACCACTTTGTGGTAAAAATTAAATAAATATAAATACGTTAAATAAATATATTGTAAAAGAACGTCCCACATACTCAGCATTTCTTCATCCTTTGCACACACTGAATGCTTTGTCACAGCTTTAGGGCCAATGAAAAGAAATACTGCATCTTTAGAAACACAGGCTCCCCTGGATGTAATCAGCAACCCATACAACCAGAAAACAGGGTTCCTTTGCAGCTTTATCGCACCCGTTCAAAACACTGCCTGTAACTTCACTGCTCTGCACAGCTCTCATTGGTTCCTGTTTAGCTCCTGTTCTCCCCAGGACTCGTCTTACCTCTGGCTCTGCAACCGGTGCCCCTCCTGTATCAGGAAGTAAGGAACACTTGCAGCAGAGAAGTGCTTACGCCCACACGAGCAGCTCGGTGCTGCCATCAGAGTATTCTGCTGAAGTTTCTGCTGTAGGTCTGTCCTGATACTGCGATTTAGGTCAAGGACCGTCCAGCTCTCGTGTAAATACTGGTTGACATTTAAACAATGAGGTTTAATTTCAAAGTAGGTAAACCTTTAACTGGTTTCTCAAGTCGGTATTTTTTAGAACTCCATTGTAGCTGCTCAGGTTTGCGGGATTAATTTTCCAGGGTAGTACTGATTAAACTGAAATCTTACTCTTTCTACCATTTTTGGATAATTAGGACAAAGATTCCCTTTGCAATCACTGTGGTGCACCTAACGCATAACGTGGTACGGCAGCAGTGGTGCGACGGCAGGCTCTGATCATTCTCTACAACTAACAGGCTCCTTTTGCAGATCCCAGTCCCTGGTAATTACACCATTTCAATCACTGTATTTTGATTCTTTGCAGTAAAACACATCAGTTATAAAATCACGTACAGTACAGGGATATTGGGTGACGGTGATATCCAGCTTTTGCTCTCCATTTCCACTGTCTTGAAAACTGCCTTGGAGTAACTCCATCATCAGGGTTCGTTGCTTTTCCGAAGTTACCACTCGCTCCTTGGGCTCCTACCATCTCCTGATCCAGCGCAGGCAGAGGTACAAGGCACTTTTTGGAAGCTTGGTTTCTTCTAAGAGAGAGAATTCAGCTCTTTGATCCCACTTTTCCCTGCTAAAGGTAGGCCTGTTTCACAGCCCAGTGCTTGGGATGTTGGTCCCAGAGAAGAAAACTCCATCCCTCTCCTCTCAAACAGCGTCACCTGCAAGGCTCGGCTCTGCAGAGTCCTGGTTATAGTAGTGCTGAAACAGTCTTTCCTGGCAGCAGATATGCATAGCCTTGTAGGTATGCAGGAGCAGGTGAGGGAAACGCGCTGTAAAGTAACATACAAAATCATCCGGGATGGAGCCCAGGGTCTCCTGCACCTCGGGAGGCAGCTCTCTGTAATGGTGCTTCTGTACAGGAAAAAAGAATAGGGTCAGAGGGTGTGGGTTCAAGGACCCTCTTTTAAATAGAGTTGTCTGCACAAAATGCATTTTCACGGACAAAGTGACCTCACAGAGCTCAAAGCCTAAAACAAGGTACGACAGACACAGACTGGCACCAAACAGCAACTGGCGGCAGAACCGCAGTGCGTGTGTTGCTTATGGCAGTACAAGTCCTTTACCTTATTTCTCATCGCCCTCAGAAGATCCCGTACTGAGCCTCCTTTATAAGATCTGAATTTTCGAAGATCTGTAAAAGAAATTACAAGATTTCTTTTTGTGTTTTAGTTGCTGGTCACAAAGGTAAGGTGTGCATGTGCCCACAGTCACGTATCCTTAAAAGTGTGTTTCAATATATAAACATGTACTTTAAATTGAATAAATACATTGCTGACAAGTAAAGGTCATGTGCCAAAACTCAGTGTTATCCTTCCTTTCCCATCCCAGCACACTGGGAACAACAGCACATACTTCCTTTCTGCTCTGATAAAGCATTATCCATTACCTGTCTGAAGAGGAACAGTGATGTGCTCTCTCCAGTCCATTTTCACCACCTCTCTTCCACCTCTTTCTAATTGCTTGACTATTGGACCATCTAAAGATTCCTTCTCTATCCGGTCGCTAACATCCTGGAAGAGACATTCAGGTTACCTCTGGTTTTATTTACAAGCTTTTTCCAACAGTTCAAAATTGCTGCTTCTGGCCAGTTGCAGAAGCCCGTAATTCTGGCTTGACAACAGAGTTACGATTTTACTGCATGACAAATATAACAGATAATGCTTAGGACACAGAAGTTTGAGTTGTTTCACCATCTGCCAAAGCCTAGAAATCACAGAGTAGAAGAGAGGGCAGGAAAGAACCTCAGCTCCTCAGCCACTTCCCATCCCATATCAGGATTAAGTGTCCATGTCCACAACAGGGAGTTACCTTGCTCTTGAACACCTGCCTGGCAACATTCTCCTGCATTGCTACTATGGCTGCTAAAGACCGTCCTCACTCCATTTGCAGTTGATAACCTCACGCTCTAGCCCCGCTCTAAGAGATCTTCTGTAAGACTAAGGAATTTCTTGAGATACAGCACCTAGGGTTTACAACTTTGCTTCTTCACTCCTCACAGCAAAGCTGTGGTTTCTGTCACCTCAAACATCCACAAAGCCAGGAGAGACTGAATTCAAGGCCTGAAGAATGTCTACAGGGCTCCTTAGAACTAAGGAGATAGAAAAGGTCAACACAAACCTGAAAAAACTGGAGCTGTTTTTCTAAACTCCAAAAGAACGGGTGTTTTAGCACACAGCTGGCAGACGGACGTTTCTGAGGGTCCATGTTTATCATTTGCTCTATCAAATCACGAGCAACTATGTCTTCTGCAAGGAAAAGGGTGATAATTCTTAGGCTGCAGGAATCTGATGTTTTGTACTTTAGAAAATCATTATGGTCTCTGCCTCTGACACAAGCCCCAGTAGCTCAGGTCCAGCCTTCGTAGGTTTGCTGGGCAACCAACAGAAAGTTGGGAGTGTCGAGTCAATGGCATTACGAACATCAACGTTCAGCTCTTTCCTACCCTTTAAACTCATGAAATAACTCTCCAGTCAAGCTTGCAGGGTTCCAAATGTTGTATCCCAGAGGTGTTTTGGGGTACCAGTTCTAAGAACTTCAGGAGTACAACTTTCCCCACTGCCCAGTTAGGAATCACTGCAGGTCATAGTTCTGTCCTTTCTGTTGGTATTTTAACGCCCTTGCAAAATTCACTGAGCTCTGTAGTGTTTTACATTTATGGTGATTTTCTTACCGTGCCTCCCCACATTTAAAGACTCCAGGCTGTATGCACCCAGCAGAATGTTGGCTTGCCGCTGCAGGGATTTCCCAAAGGGATGGCTGCCTTCAGATACCACATAATAGAAGACACAGCCAGCTGAAAAGATGTCCACGGTATATGTCTGCAAATAAACAACCTTTAATAGCAACAAGGCATTTTTTTTTCCTCTGAAGACTTTGAGCCATCATCACAGAGTGGCTATTTTGCATCTAAGAGCAGA